TCTAAAATGTATTTTGTTTTAAACTTTAAAACAAAATAAAAAGGAAAAAGATTAAATATTTGTCATACGATTGAAGAAAAGGAATACTTTTTAGAAATACTGTAACGTAGTACAAATCGCCACCAATTTAAATGCAACTATGTAGTTGAAAAAAAAAAACAACTCTCACTCAGTCCTTGCAAGTATTGGAATAGGGTTTTTGTGTTTTAATGAACTTTTGGGGTCACCAAACCCGGCTGCGGAAACCAATTATTTTGTATACATAGTTACAAATGTCTACAAAATCCTCTACCCAGCAGCAGACTTGGAACTTTTTGACCATTTCGATGATCGATCAACCTAGTTCAAATCACTCAAGTGAACTCGTTCATTTAGTTCGTGTTCGTTCATTTTAGTTCACAATTTAAAATAGTGAACCCGAGAAATAAAACACTACTGGGTTTTTTATAAAAAAAATAATATTTATCGCGATAAATTTTTAAGTTTTTTCTCTTCGTTTTGTTTTAAATAAAACTGTACTAAAAGATGTATTCTCCTTTATTATTCTAAAAACAAAATTATATGTTCGGATTCGATGCTTAAGAAAGGTACCCTTTTTTGTCCACAGAAATCTGGTCACCGTAACTATATGTAGGCTTTTAAAACAACTCATTATGTAAGATACAGCGGTGGCAACGTAATTAGCAACCTATAACTTTTACAATATTTACAAATATTTAAAATGTTAAATTTTTTTCGTTAATGTTTTATAAAAATATATATAACATAAGCCGTATAAAAAAGTTAAAAATTTTGTACAAAACTGCCAAAAATTCAACATATTTATAAAAAACACTCATCAAAATTTTAAAATTTTTACTCAGACTTTTATAAGCTATTTAATTTCAGTATCATAATGTGCACGTTTGAAGTGGCTAAGAATTGCCGCTGATTTTAGAAATTTTGTGTTTGCTGAGACCTTTCTCATTTTCTTTCACTTAATACATATTTAGTATGTGTACATGAATTAATTTATGTAAAATTTAAGAAAAACGGAAACCTGGAGCAAATAGTTCATTTTAAATTTCGAACTAGTTCGTTCAACCAGTGCAGTGACCTAGTTCATTGAACGAACTAGTTCGTGAACTTCCCAACCCTACCCAACAGCGAACAAAAATAATTTCCAAATTTCCAAAATTTTTCACATTGACCCAACAGAGTTTTGCTTGCTGCTGCTGCTGCTAGCATTGCATGCCAACGGCGACTAACAAAAGCACATCTGATTGACAAACATTTAGATTTGTGGTCGAGAATATGAATAGCAAATCACGGACAAACAAAAATCAATCAATGAACACACCCACACATTTGACGCTGCGCAAATACCACAGACGCGCGCTGCGGGCGGTGGACTGATAAGCAAGTTTAATAAAAGTTGGCAACTTGAACGGGTGTGGTGTTTTTTTTTTTATTAGTCATGAATAACAAATCAGCTGTGGTAGTGCGAGGTTTTTTTATAAATACTTATGTGGGCCCCAAGAATAAAAAATGCGAAAGCTTGCATGCGGATGTGATCTGAATGTATAGAATCAAGCTATTAGAATGTTTTTCTGTTTTAATCTGTCTGTTTGCGTTAAAGTAAGGCTATTAGTATTGCATTTTTTATGCATAAAATAACTTGGTCCAAGATAAATGCGAGCATTTCTTTCCTGGACATACGTTAACATGTAAATGCAGACTTCGCTTAACAAATTCGTTGCATATCTCCAAGGCGCTTGGCAGCATATTAAACATCACTAGCAGTTCGCCTGTTTATTTGTTGGTTTAAATGATTAACCACGCTTTTATTTGCCTCCTTTGGAAGTCATGAATAAATTAAGGCATCAGCTGATTGCAATAAAAATATGAAAATTGGTATTTAATCTGAACATTGCTTCAAATTATGTAAATATGTTTGTATGCACGTACGAGGGATGTTTCTAAAGTTCTGGAAATTGTGCTATAATTAAATTAAATACGCAGAACTTAAAAGCAATGTTATGGGTGGAAGACAAGTCTTGACATGTTTGTGTAACTATCTAGTGCAATACTGTTCAGTCTGGTTTAGGTGTTCGACTGATAAGGACGCGTTTTCATAGCACTGTTTTTGTAACCATGGAAGACGCCGTCGTTCGAATGGACACCGACGCTTCAGCTCTGAAAGTATTCAACTCGGAACCCGCTGGTGGTAGCAGAGGAAGAGGGATCAGAAATTATTCAGCGGGCCACTGCAACAGACGCTTATCAAAAAATGGCCTGGAAAGTTGCATAAGTGTCCGTTATTGCAACTGGATAATGCAAGACCACACACCACAAGAAATACGAAGGATGTTTTGAATAATTTACGATGGGAATTGCTTCCGCAAGTACCTTACTCCCCCTGGATCTTGTATCCAGTGATTATCATCTGTTTCCAGATTTGAAAAAGCGCTTACGGGCTGTTTGATTTGAAAGTTTAACTTATGTAAACGTGCCATAAATAGGCGGATTGAAGAGACACCGAAAAGTTCTTTGAGGAGGGCTTAAAAATATATTTGTTTATCAATGGGATAAATGTAATCAGTAAAATGGAGATTATGTCGAAAAACTACAATGTAATATATATTGACGAAAATTAACAAAATAATAAAAATTATAGCTACACTGAGCCAAAAGTACGATGATTTTTGCAACCAAGTTTTTGTTTGGTTTTCTCATGGTAAATAAATACACCGATTGTATTTAAGAGATGTGATTGAAGTTGGACATTTGAATGCAAATTTGTATATCTGGCTGTAGCTAATCTTGTAGAAACGAATGCTGTATTTCGTTAGTTTCCAGCAGGCTTGGGTTCGAATTCAACATAACTTTTATTTTTATTCTTTTGTTTTTTTTTTTTTTTTTTTTTAATTACGAAAAAGCATCTGTGAAGTGCAGAACCAAATCAAACGACGAAGAAACTTGATTCAGGTTGAACATTGATTCTTTTTCAAGTTTGAATTTGGTAATATTACCCAATTTTTGGTTCATTTTTTTCTCAGTGTAAATTCCCAAAACTGTGGAAACATCCCTCATATATAAAAGCAAGTTTGTATCCATTGCAAGCTCAGATCCTCTGCTCGGCTTGAGTTTAAATTTTTCAAGACAAATACACTCGGAGGTTTGCCATTGCCTTCCGAGGGCGACCGCTGTTAGAACAAAACTTTTTCCTAATTTAGATGTTGTTCGGACCAGCGAGCAAACCCCGGTCCTACGTGGTGGTAGTACGCACCTCTAATCACTCGGCCACAGAGACTCCCTATATATTTTGTGTTTAATATTTGGGGCTATATGTTTTACCTTAGAATATTACTTAGAATATAAATTAAAAATTTCAAATTTCAACTAAAATTTTAGTACCTAAATTTAGCATTTTTTTTGCTTTAAAGCTATTTATTACTATTAGTGTTTAGCTCTAAGCATTCAGTTATTTAGTATTTTAGATTCAGCACCAAAATTTAGCGATGATTCTAAAACTGAAATTAGTATAAAGTCATATAAAATATACTGGAATTAAAAAAAAAAAATATGATGCAGCTGCAATACCGAAAGCTGGCTAAATTTATACTACTGAAATTTTAAGTCCTATTTTTTTATTTTTACAAAAATGTAATAATGCGGATTTCTTTACTGAAATCCAAATGCTTTCAGAACTGATTTTTTTTTAAATATATATTCAGTACACAAATTTTTATTGCTAAAACTTTAAGTACTTAATTTGCATAACTTATAATGCGATATCGGAATCTTAATGAATTTTTAGTAGTGAAATTTTTAGTGTCAATTTGCTTATTTTTATGAAAATGTATTAATCCGGATTTCTCTACCAAGATCCAAATGTTTTTAAAACTGAATTGTTTTTATATATTTTTGGTACAAACAATTTTTTTTGCTAAACTTTTAGTACTTAATTTTAATATCTTATAGTGCTGGCTGACCTACCAACGTCTTAATAATGTTTTTAGTACTAAAGCTTTGTTTTGAATTTTTCGTAATAAATAGTACATTCTTACTTAATTTAAAATATATTTAACGAATATTTGCAGCAGGTTTATCGCACCGTAAAATTCCCAATAGTTTAAAATTTTTAGTACTCAAATTTTTACTCCTAAAATTTTTAGTATTTAATTATGATAATATTATAAATATGGCTGTAAAATTATAAAAGATGCAGTTCATAATCATGCAACTTTAACAATATATATAGCATTAAAATTTGATATGTTTATTTAATTAAAAAACTTGTATTAAAGTAGTTAGTACTAAAACTCAACTGATATTTTTGATACACGAGTTTCAAAAGGAATTTTGGTAAATCTTTTGTAGTATTTTAGTGATTTTGAGAAGCCCCAGAACTAAACTTTACCTATATTTTTAGGGCAAATTCTTATGAAAAACTGTTTTTATTTTTAGTACTAAATTGTTAAAAGTACTGAAATTGACATAGAGTAAATATTTAATATGTAGCAAAAGCATAGTGTTAGTACTAAAATTTTTCCACCTTTTTTCCTATTTACAGCATGATTTAGATTAAAATTTTTCAGTTTTAGTACTAATATTAATTTTTTTCGTCGAATTTTCGAAAATCTTTTTTTTTTGAAATAAATATTATCAAATTGTATCTACTAAAATTTTATCAAAAATTTTGAAAATTAAAAATTTTTATAATTGACCAATTAAAAATGTTTTAGAATCAATGTTTTTATGTTATTTATTTATATGGAATAATTGTTTTAAAAATGAATTTACGCACGATTAAAAATTTAAAAATATGCAGATAGTAAATAGATTTAGTACTTTTTAGTTGTGACGAAAGAAATTGCGATTTCTGCGATAGAATTTTAAGTGATTTATAATAGTAAAATAAGTCTAAAACTTAAAGAAATATTTTCTTTGTGCTAAATAAAAAATGTAGTATAAAATGGGCTATAGAAGAATACAAACATTTTTTAAGAACTACTTACTGTGTTTAAAATCCTCGGCGAAGTAAAGTCTGTAATAAAAATGAAAAAGGCTTAGAAAATTTTTGGACTAAGTAAAAAAGAGGGTACAAATAAAGCAAATAAAAATAAATATGATTAAATAAACATATTTTTATGTACGTTAAAATATTTATTGGAAAACAGCAAAATTTCTCGAAATCCATGCACATTTTTTTTTTTTCGGTCAAAACTGCTGCGCTGAAAATTTAGTACCAATTATTTATACATGAAATTAGTCTATGATAATGAAATAAAGCACTCGACACTAATCGTGTAATCAGCGATTTTCCATTAATTCGCATTTAATTTGATTTTTAAAGCAAAGATTTGGCAATTTCCGGCAATCAGAGCGCGCATGTGAGTGTGTGCGCGTGACTTTAACCGAAAATTTTCATTTGAGCGGAAAAATCGTAATCGCATTTACATAGTTACTCATGCGCCACCATAACGCAACTGTCACACGCACACACACACGCGCCCACTAAATAAATTGCTCGGCCTACAACAATGCGCGCAGGGTTTTTTTTTGTAAAAAAATTTACGCCAACGCCTTTTTTGCAGAAATTTGATTTGATAAAATTTTTTACTCCAAATTGTTTATTGCATAGCATAGCATTTTTTGGTTACCCATACGCAACGTCTCACAGCTGTTGTTCGGCTGTTTATTTAATATTTATTATAGTCGCAAACGTATGAGGGTTTGCATACTTTTCAAGCGCATCGAAGCGGATGAGAGTAATCAATTGCAAATTTGAGTCGTATTCTCTGGCTCACACCCATACATGCAAGTAGGCAAACACTGATATTTAAATAGTTGTGTATGCATATTTATTGTGTGGGTGTGTGCGTAAGTGAATGCATCCCACACAGCATATTTATTAGATTTGTGTAGCTGTGGTCTAGCGGGTTCTTTAAAATGCAAACAAATTTGATATTTTAATGACTTTATGAGTTTTTTGTTTGTTTGTTATTTATTAAAGATTAATTTATTTTTGCAATGTTGCAAAATTTTACTGAGTATAGTTGTGTGAGCAAATTAATGAATACATTTTTGTTAATTAAAATGAGAATTTTTTCTTGCTGTGGTTTTTTATTAAAGTGATTCAAAAAGCGGTAATTGAGAAGCGTTAAATCACAGACAAGGTAATCTTCCTTCGAGGCACATGTAAAGTTTATACATCTACTACTGAATCTCTTCCACGCCGTGATGAGGGATTACGATACTACTACTTTAGGAAGACTATTCGCAAACTAGATACTCAAAACATAGCGAAAATTTAAATTTTCTCTATCCTAATTGGTTTATGGCGAATTTTAAACTTTTTGCTTATTTCGAAAATTTGTAAAACTGCAAAATATTTAAAGTTTTTTGTATAGTATTTCTGAAAAGTAGAAAGGTTTTGTGTTTCACAAAATTTAGACAAAGAAACACGAAATTTTTTAAGTTTCTGACATTTTTGAAATTAAGGGAATTCGGAAATTTAAAATTAAAATATTTTTCTTTTTTAGAAATCTTTTGACTTTTTTACTATTTTCTTTAAAAGTAGTTTTACGGTTTTTGAGAGATTTTTTTTTTAGCTTAGTTGTCAGTTTTTACCTTTTGTTTTTGGTAATTTTTATGACATTTTAAAACCCAATAAGAAACGTTCTTTAATCTTTATGACAGCTTTTAAAAGCTGCATAATAAACAAATTTTTTTAAAGCTTTTGGTAAGTAAAAAATTTTGGGCAGTTCTGAGATTTAGAAAAAAATAAAAATTTTGTTAACTTGTTAATTTTTTTATTTTTTCTATTTTTGGTTACTGGCCTTTGAAATTTGGAATTTGTTCATTTTTTTGTTAACTTGTTAACTTGTTAATTTTTTTATTTTTTCTATTTTTGGTTACTGGCCT